GTAAAGGTACGTAAAGGCTGACCTTTTTTTATCTTCGCCTCAACTATGAAGTACTTTCACCACACTGAGCAGGTGAACAACAACAAACTAAAAGTATACCATAAACACTTTTAAAATCTCATTAGAATAAAACACTAGAATACACAGATTTTAATATTACCTTCATTTATCCTTACTAAGAGAAATGCTAAATCTCATTGACTAATATTAAGAATTATAATAAGGAATATTCAGAGCAAAGATATAAAAGTTTAAAATACAAATTATAGTAAAGTTCATTGGTTAGATTAATGATACTATGATGAGAATTACCAAACGTCTCATGTAAGTTATTTAAATTTTTGTCAACAAGTTGATAATGCTGCCTCTTAAGTGCACAAGAGATAAATGTGGCTTTTGAGCTCACATTTAATAATAAGCCCTAACCTAGAGTTAGTTCTTATAAAGTGGCTCTACTTAATACTTGCTCTTATGAGGTGATCACTGAAGATAAGGTGCTACAGCAAAGTGTGGTGAAAAAGGTCTGATGGTGCCCTACTATCAGAAAGAACAGTATCTGGAGTCTTAAAGGTTTCTCTTAAAAAAAAAACAAACAAACAAAAACCCAGACATCTAAGAGAGGTATCAGTTAAGTCAATACAGAAGGTGCATACCAGCCTGAGCCACCCAAGAATTTTAAATAATAAAACCCTAGACTAGAGAAGGGAATTGTAATTAGAGCTTAAATACTGAATGCTTGGTTTGTAGAAAGCTATGGGTGATGGTAATGCCCCAAAACCATTTGCAGTCTTTCCACCCCTGTGGATTAAGCCTCCATTGAACTCCCTTGGATCACTGCCTCATTTACTGTCATTGAGTCAATTCTGACTCCTAATGACCCTACAGGAGAGAGTAGAACTGCCCCTATTGGTTTCCAAGACAAACTCTTTAAGAGAATAGAAAGCTAAGTCTTTCTCCCAGACCACTGACAAGGAATGTGAGTAGTTTTGCCCTAGAGTATATGGAAAGTGCATTACTACAGATTAGGTTAAAACTCAACATAGTATCACTTGTTTCCCCTAATGACATATTTTAATTTTTTTTCTGGTTTCTATTATCTTCTGCTGTCTTTTGGATTGAGGATTTTGTTGTTGTTTTGGTATAATTTTCTTTGTATGAAATCTAGAATAGGTAATCCATATAGACAGTAGGGTTTTAGCAGGTGAGGTTGGGAGGTAATGGAGAGCTAATAAAACTGAGTACAAGAATGAAGAAAATGTTCTAAAATTGTGGTGATGGTTGCACAACTCTTTTTAATATATTTAAACCACTAAATTGTATGGTACATGAAGTATACGCCAATAAAACATTCAAAGAAAACTTAAAAAATTTTTATGGTATAGTAAAACTGTCAAAGTCAGAACTTATTATAAAACAGACACCACCAGAGGAAGAAAGCTCAGATATTTTCCATTAAAACAAGAGTTGTTTTTTTTAAGGTGGAAAATGTTGAAGACTTGGAAAAATAGACATCCTGTTGAATTCCACTTCCCAGAGATTTCAATATACTTAATTCTACTTAAAACCATTCTAAGTTTAAAATATTGATAAAATTATAATGTCAAGTCTCATTCAAAAGACTCCCCAACTCCCTGAAATCAAGTCAATTCTGACTCATGACCATCCAAAAGGACAGGGTAGAACTGCCCCATGGGTTTCCACGAATACAACTTCATGGGAGTAGAAAGCCTCACCTTTCTCTAGGGAAGTGGCTGGTGGAAGCAACCCAATACATAATCACTATGCCACCAGGGCTAGCAAACATATTGTTTTAGACTACTATATTTATATTTGGTATAAATATTGCTCTCCCCCCATCTGTTCCACTTTTAGTCATTATTGGATGCTATCATGCAAAGTAAAATTAAGTTCTGTTTATTTTTGTTCCTATGAAAATATGACATTTACATGTGGTACGAAAGGGGGGGGCGGTGGAGTTACCCGGCTTAAAAACTTTTTTCAAAAGCAAGCTTAACACATCATCTTTGCTCATAACCACAAAATTTACAGTCAGAATTTGCACATAAAGGGTTTATTTTAAATGTTTTGAGGATAGGAGAGAGTTACATCATAATTATAAAAATTACTTACAGAATTAAGATTTATATTGTTTATACTTCTAAATGCAGAACAGGGAACTGTATACACATCGTATAAAATAAAATGAAAAATGAATTCAAGCTCTAAAGATGAGGTCATTTACCTAATTTCAAAATGTGAACACTAAGACCTCTGAACTATACACTTTCACTTAAACTGCACTAATGATGTAAAATACGAAAAGCACAGCATTTCCAGGGAACCACAAACATTTCAACCATAATTACTTTCTGTTATAATAATTGTTTCTGTTTTGTCTTTGGAGAACTTTTTTTTTCTTTTATGAGACAATCAGCTGAAGAATGATTTTAGGCACTACAATTTGTAACAATCAAAACAGTCTTAATGCATCTACAGCTTTCAAAAATTCAAGTCCAATGCACTTTGGGGTTTGGCACATAAAACAATAATAGAAATGAAATTGGATTTTAGAAGTAACTGTGATTTTTTTTTTTAAAGAACACACAGTCCCTTCAAATGCTGCGTGGCATTTACAAGTGGAAAATTACCTTCTGTTGGCACTACATTTGCGTCACCAGTGCGTTTTTATCCTACAACTACTAAAACAATAGCACAGTAAGCAAATATATAAAAAAACTGAAAACAAAAACAAAAGTAAAAAACAAACCAAAAAAACTTCGATATCTTTTCACATGCAATTTCAGTTAGTTACATTGAGCATTCTACCTAGAATAGAAGAGCATGCAAAAAAGGATGGTCTACTTTTAAGGTTTTTCTTTGAAGCTTAACATGGCAGCTTGACATCTCTCTCTCTCTCTCTCTGACACACATACGCCACCACACACACACACACACACACACACACACTCTCTCTCTCTCTCTCTCTCACTCTCTCTCCAATAATACTATCGCAGGTAAATGAGAAAGGTGAATAAATTTTATACACAGATTCATGTCTTGTGTCATTACAAGCCTCATGTTAATTTTGGAAGTGAATGTTGAATTCCTAAAAGGAACCGACATTTAGATACCAGGAAAATGCAAGCAATGCATGCAGATCCAAAACATGAGACAAAAATGGAGCCAAAGTCGTAAGAGTCATGAAATAGAATAAGCCACAGTATCAATAGTGTGGTTTAAGCCATCAAAAGAGTGAAAGGGGGGAAAAAAATTCTTTCTCTTCCCTTAGCCCTAAAAGTATAAATGGAACAAGTATTAAAATAATAATTACATGTTATGTGGTGTATTATAGTTGCTAAAAGTTGCTAAAATTGCAGAATATCCACAATGCAAGTCATTGGGCAATGCTAAAAATGTTTCAGTAGTCCCAACCCTTAATATACTTCACAATGAATTTTAATTTTCGCTGTACCATAATAGGAGTGCTAGATACACTCACTGCTGTGCCACAAGTACTGCTTGGGCTCATGGAGCCAGGCACAGAAGAGACAGATACATGCAAGGATTCAATAGAAAATGGAAACAGAAAAACACGTAATAGATATTCAGAATTAAACTCATTCAACCATACAGGAAACATGTCTGACCTGGGCACTTAGTGCTTTCATAACATACTAAGAACCTTGCCTTTGGATCCCCAGGATGGAAAATTGAGCCCAATGTGGTTGTAGCCATGGACAGTAGTAATGACTATCCAATAATATGATGACACATAAAACCTTAAGGGAGTCAAAAAAGTAGAGACTTATAAACTGCCAAGTCTCTGATGCCAAACTTCCGAGTTTATACTGATAACTCACATGGTTAGCCTTCTGCATGTGCAATACAAAAGGTCAATATCAGGTCTGAGCCTCTTCATCAGAATGACTGGTTTGACATACTGCCTTTTCTTGCTTTCAAACCACCAAGGTATAACTAAACAAAATGATACATAGCAGTTCTGGTACTAAACCAATTATTTTTGCACTTCTATTTAAGTTTAAGAATAATTTGCCAAAGTAAACCAAGAAAATATTCTGTGGCTAAGGGCTGCTATCACTTACACTGGGAAGCTAACAAAGATGATGGAATTTTATATGGTAAAATATTGACATGCAAACTCCTAGTCACTGAGTGGAATCCACATAACAGCAAACTGTAAGCAGGGACATACACCACCACAAAAGGTATCAAGAGATTTAAACTGTTATTTGTCCAGACATTCTTTGTGGGGAAAAGCCTTCTGACCATAATCATATAGTAAAATTTTTAAAATCCCAAGGGACATGTTAGAAGACAAGAATGCCATTCTTAAGATTTACATTTCTAATATAAAAGTATTATGTTTTCCCAGGAACTTAAAACACATACAAACCACCAATGTACTGTCGCCTTTTAAACTTATATACTAAAATTCGGGTCAAATAATTTGTACAACCAATGGCCAAACACGCCATTCAAAATGCACCTGCACTATACTTTATGGGCCAAGTACCTGGGCTTAACTAAAAAGCATTTTATGTTTTAAAATGTAACAACATAGAAATTATAATACTTAGAATTAAAGGCAGCCTTTTAGCCAGATAGCTGACCAGTTTGTATAACATCTAAATGTGAGCCCTTAACTTTGATTCAGATTTGACTTATTTAAAGCCTCCAGATTTAAAAGGTGCACTGCACTTTCACCTTTCAGAAAAGTTGACCATCCCTATGTGCTTCTTGTGCCTCAATTTCAATTAAATAAATAAGAGTATATATGTATACATATACATACATATATACACATGTATATATGTATAATATATATGATTGACTTGTGTCAGACTCCTGTTAAACTGGAGAAAATTATTTAACCCCTTTTCCAATCCACACAAAAAGGACTGCCAAGAGAGAGAGACAGAGAGAAAGAATATATATATATATATATGGGTGTGTATATGTATTACATATACACACCCATATATATATAGATAGATAGATAGATTAAAAAAAAAAAGCCATAACAAAAAATACCAAACTACACTTGCATTATGGCAGCAAAATAAGAGAGTGAGGGTGAAGGGGAAAATGGTTAAGATCTATTAGAGTTTTCAATAATTATGATATTAGCATAACTTCTACCAAATTTGCCTGTAACTCCTCTCCAAAGAGACAAGACTTCTTTTAAGATGAAGGAGTTCCTTACACAAAAGTTCACATATATCTGTACTATTCAGAACAAAACAGTTTGCTGGCAAAGATTGTGGGTTCGCAGGGACACGTAAGCTTTCATTAAACTGGAAAGCAATCAAGTCTTTATGTCTACAAATTATATATTTAATAGTTCCACAAGTTTGGCAAAGTTCGAGATGACACCTAAGATGTTTTTACCAAATCGTAGACATAAATATGGAAATCATCATCAAACTTGATAAAATAGACAGATGGTTTGGCTTCTACTTGATGAATGACCATGCCAGTCCTTTTTGAGCCATCTTCTTTGGCATATTCCACTTGTTTGCCTACCAGGCTGTCAACAACTTCTCCAGGTTCCCTTTCTGCTGGAGGTGAATCATCTGTATTTAAGAGGGAAAAAAAGTAAAGTCAATCCATCCATACACAGGAAGTTGTGCCTATTTTAATAACATTTTTTAATATCCTGAATTCATCTTCACTTATCTAGAACAAAACTTAAACTCTTCTTTTAAGGATCCTAAGAGTAATATTCAGACTTCACTGCATTCCATGTCATCTTCCTAAGCCGATCGCAAAATAGAAAAGATTTCCAATGTTTTAAATATACGAATTAGTTGAACTCCACTGCTGGCCATTTACAACTAGATCTCTGAGGATGGTCCAGATACCATGGGTGTTTTTAAAGACCCCCAGGAAAAGCTGAATGTTTGCCTCTTCACTTACAACTACCTTTTTCATGGAACGACTTACTTCAGAAATAGAATACATGAACACACATTTGTCAGAAATTCTCTTCCCTCAAGTAACATCTTCATACTGTTGCATTTTTAAGGTACTTTAATATTGACACACACACATATATATATTTACCATAACTCTTAATTTTTACCACAACCCTCAGTGATACAAGAGACTAATTATACACAGCAATAAAACTGGGCTCAAACACTACATGCCAGAGGCTTTTCATATCAATCACTATTGTTTCTGGTGGGAAACAAATTTCTAACCTCTTAAAAATACATTAGCAGCTTGGAGAAAGAAAGTTATGAGAAAATAAAGAAGTAGACACAGGAGAAAAGAAGTGGTTAGAAAAAAGAGTAGATTGAGTATATGCAAATGACCTCACACTGTCTAGTATTAGGTTAGTAGTCCTCACTGGATATTTGTCTATAAAAACATTAAAACTGAAACTCATGTAAGATATGATATGCTTTCAAGGAATGTGGTCATGATAAACTAGATTTCTTTGCATTTAAATAATGTCCATATACTTTTATAAAAATGCAAACAAACTAAAAAATAAAGTACCATATACACTTGGGTATACGCTTTACAGCACATTTTTAATGCAGTTTTTTTTGGTAAAACTAGGTGCCTCGGCTGATATTCGGGTCAGCTTAGACTCGAGTATATATGGTGCTATACCAGTAAGTAGGTACAATTTCAAAGTTAGATATTAGTAGGTTCATTAATTAAGTGACTTGCTGATAAGTATTAAAAACAAAAAAAGGAACATAAATGTCACTTTGCTAACAAACCTAGGGTCTATAATCATATCTGTCCAATGCCAGGAATGCATGTGTCTGAGAAAAGGCTATGGAATGTTGTAACTCTTTACAGGAGTAGAGTCTCATCTTTCTCCCTAGGAGCAGCTGGCGGTTTTGAACAGCTCAGCAGTTGGCAGCCCAATGCTTTACCAACTAGCCACCAGTCTCCTTGGCTATGAAATATTTTAAAAGCAAAAACAGCTTCAAAACCACAATGAGATACTACTTCATGCTCTGTGGTTTGCTGGGTGCTGTTATTCAAGTACAGCTTTCCAGTCGATGGCGATGGGCCAGAGCAATACTGTGATGTATGCATGGGGGCTGTTCCTTTTCAGCAGCCTCCATAGCCTGGTCACTGGTACATGTGAGGTGGGATACTACTTCATCTTCACTATCAGTAGTTGCTTCCTGGCAGCATCATTTGTTACAGAATAGAACTGCTCTATTCTAGAGGGTTTCCATGAATGAAAATTTTTTAGAAGTAGACCTCCGTAGACCTAGGTGGGTGGGGGTGTCCCCGGGGGGTGTACCTGAGTGAGTTCAGTTCCCTGGGTGAGGGAGAGCTGTTTCTGCCAACTACAGTCCCCACAAAGATGGTCATTATCATAAAACAAAACAAATAACAAATGTTGGTAAGAATATGAAGAAATCTTGATTCATTGCTGATGGAACTGTGAACATAGAATGGTATAGCTGCTATGGAAAACAGTTTGGTGGCTTTTCAAGAACTTAACATAAAAGTACCATATAGCTAATAATTCCACTCCTAGGGAAATGCTGGGTACTGTTGAATCAGTTCCAATTCACAGGGACCTTACATACAAGAGAAGGAAATACTGCTTGGTCTTACATAATCCTCACAATTGTTGTCATGTTGGAGTCCAGTGCTGTAGCTACTGTTAATCTTTCTCCTTGAAGGCCTACCTCTTTTTTGTTGCCCCTCTACTTTCCAAGTACAGTGTCATTTTCTAGGGACTGGTCTCTCTCCTGGTAACATGTCCACAGTACATGATATGCAGTCTCACCACCTCACTTCTAAGGGGCATTCTAATTCTACTTCCTCCAACAGAGATTTGTTCTTCTGGCAATCCGTGGTACCTTCAACACCATGATTCAAATGCACAAATTCTTCTCTATTCATTCTCATTCAATGCCTAGCATATGAGGTAACAGTCAACACTGTGGACTGCATCAGGCACATCATAGTCCTCAAAGTGACACCCTTGCTCTTTAAGAGGTCTTGTGCTTTCTGCTCCTATAAAGAGTTAGTCTTGGAAATGCACAGGGGCAGCTCTACTCTCTCCCACAGGGTTGCTATGAGTCAGAAACGACTTGGTGGCAGTTACTCTGTGCAGATTTGCCCAATGTTAATTTGTGGTTGTTCTTAATATTTTCTTTCATGAGCAGCAGTCTTTCATCTTCATCAGTAAGTACTTCAAGTCCTCTGGGCTTTCAGCAGAATATTTTATTTGCTATTTAGGTGCAGGTTTACATACGAGATAATCATTTTTGTATTAAACTTTAACAACTTATCAACCCTACTACTATCCTGCTCTCCCCCAACCCTGTTTTGCCCTTCCTTCCTGCACTGCTCACTATTTGGCCCACAAATCTTTCAATATTACAACTTGAGGCTTGATTTTTTTTCCCCCTTCAGTTCTTTCAGCTTGAGAAACGCTGGATCCTTTCCTTTTTAGCTTTCTAACCCCAGATTACTTTATTTTCTCTAGTCGCCTTTTGGAAATTTCAGGTTAGCTTTTTTTACCTCATCATTTCTTCCATTCACGTTAGCTACTCTATGTTCAAAAGCAAGTTTCAGAGCTGAAAACCACTTAAACTTGTCTTTCCCTGTTTTTGCTTTCTTCGTGTATGATGTTCTTGATGTCATCCCACAACTTGTCCAAGTTCAATGACTCATATATGTCCCTGAGATAATCTCTAAATTCAAGTAGGATATAATCAAAGATGTCTCTTAGGTCTCAAGGACTTGTTTAAATTTCTTTCAGCTTCAATCTTGCATAGGAGCAATGATTAGTCTACGATGACTTCTGGCCTTGCTATTGAACTTCCCCATCGTCTCTTCCGAAGGATGCAGTCAATATGATTCCAGTGTATTCCATTTGGTGAGATTTGTATGTATAGTCACCATATGCTGTTGAAAAGCTATCTGCAAAGAGGAAGTAATTGGCTTTGCAAAATTCTATCACTTAATCTCCAGACTTCTTCTATCACATTTAAAAACAGCCAATCGTTCTTCGCTTACAATTTTCAAATTTCAATCACTAGCAAATGAACCTTAATTGTAATGACTGACCAATTTCAGACTAAAAAAATTACATTGTTCAATTTCCCTCAGACATGGACCCTTTATTCGGTCTTCCCAGTCTGTTCTTGGTCTATAAGCTCTGCTAAACCCTGTTTAACAGTCGGGTGACTCAAGCGGTCAGTTAAAATTTAAATACCAATTTAAAATACCCAATTTAAGATTTAAAATAAATACCAGTGGCATTGCTTCTAGCATCATAGCAACATACAAGCCACCAGAATACGACTGAGTGACAGTAAACCAGAGTGTAGGGGCATATTCTTTTTTTTTTTTATTTACAAATTGCATAAAGCTTTATTAAACAAAATATCAAACTGTCTCAACATACCTCCCAATTAGGTCTATACCCACACACTTCTAAAGGTGATATTTCTATTTTTTCTTTTTTTTTTTTTTCAAGATACATTAAAGCAGGGATTCAAACTGACTGTTACATGACAGTTCACAACGCATTCACAGAAGCTACACGGTATTAATTATCCAAGTATCCATCAACAGAAGACTAAATAAACCAAATTTGGTTTACACATTAACTTCTTATTTATAGCAACTTAACGTATGTCAGAATAGAATTGTGCTCCCTGGATGATTTTTCTGAGAAAGATTGCCTGATCTTTCTTCTATGGGACATCTGGGTATGGCCAACTTTTTGATTAGCAGCTGAATACCTTAACTATTTACACCATCCAACAATGAATATATATATACAATGAACTATTAACCTGCTATAAAGAGAAATGAAGTTCTGGCACATGCTACATATGAATGAACCCCCAAAACATTATGGTCAGTGAAATAAGCTAAGTGCACAAGGGCAAATATGATCGTGCTTGTGTGAAATAGCTTCCAGATTAGGTAAGACACATATCCAGAAGTCAAACTCACTGCCATCAAATAACTGCCAACGCATAGTAACCCTATAGGAAATGGAGGAAGTTTCTGAGACTATCACTCTTTATTGGAGTAGAAAGCCTTCTCTTGCTCCCCAAGAAGTAGCTGTTAGTTTCAAACCACTTTGTGGTTAGAAGGCCAACTCGTAACTGCTACACCACCAGAGCTGGCTCCTTTGCAAATACATATTGACCCATGTTTATTAGTGGTTACCAGGAAGTAGGAGGAAAGGAATGGGGTGTTTTTGCTTAAGAGGCACCAAGTTTCTGTATGGGGTAATGACAAATTTTTGAAAATAGTGAACATGGTTGCACAGTTTGGTAAATGTAATGAATTTCACTGAATTGTATACTCAAATTGCAAAGGTCTTGTTATATAGACATTAAAATAAAAAAATGTTATAAAAGGAATAGACTTAATGAAATTAACTCAGTCATATAACCCTTTTGTGTTTTCCTCACTGCATTCCATTATTACATAAATCTAAGATATTTGTGAAAATAACCAAATTGTCTAAACACTGACCCTGAAAAGCCAGTTGTTACTGAAAGGGTTCTCTAATTACTAGTTTTCTAAATCAGTTTTCTCTAAACTGACTTTATTTACATGCACAGATAGCATGATAGTGTCTGCAGTTGGCTTCCAAAAACATAAACTGGAGGAAGAGTAGATAAAACTAGAATGGTCATGAATCATTAACTCTCAAAACAGAGAAGTAGGCTCATAGGGATTTAACAGTTTCAATACTTCCATATTTTTTAGTCAAAGAAATAAATAAATAGCAATATTAATAAGAATAATGCAAAAAAAATTATTTAATGAAATTTAAAACACCACAGCAAAGGTCCAAGGACACTGGTTCCTAAGTCCAGCTATTAAAGTCCTTTCTGGCTATTAAAGTCAGAGTGTTGCTATTAAAGTCCTTTCTGGCAATAATTGATAAGGAACAGGCACCAAAATGCACTTACACAGCTGGTATTATTATGAAAAGAAAATCTCATTAGTGGGAAGTTTCAAATACAGGCTTGTACTGTTTAACATCCACAATGCATTCTATGAAATAAGCTGTGATTTGAACATTGTGCAGCACTACGTAAAACTTTGTGAGTCCACTGTGGTCATCCTCATCATCACTGTTGCCACTGCTTCTGGCAGAGAAATGGGCTGCAGTAAACAGTAATGGTGAGGAGAAACCAGTGGGGAAGAAGCAGAGTGTACCATCAAAATCACCAGCTGAACAAAGTCTGAGAGCCAGCACATATCCTCTGACTCACCTGTCTGTATCCCACTAACGGTAAAATGTTCCAAGGGTCTGAGTTTGGGGTCTTTAAAACCATCAGGAAAAATAATAAAACCACGCTTTCTCTTTAAAAGATACAAAATCGTACAGAACCATGGATATATGTAATTGGACACTGCTCAAATGGACACCAACCAAAGCTCATTTGTATACTCATACACTAAAACCATCAATTTCTCAGAAAATTCTAATGATTATAGAAGTTAAGCAGCAACTGATTATCAAACATTTTCTTCTCTATAATTTTTGGCAAGAGGAAGAAAAATTTCACAACCTATGACAAAGACACAATACTCAATATGTCCCTTAATAATTAAAATGAAAATTTATTTGTAAAATAGTTAATCAAATAGATTGCTCTAAAATCCAAATTCCTTAAAAATAAGCAAAAATCAAAGTTGCTAATATTTACTTACTAGAATCAGGCATGATGCGAAGGTCGCCTTCTTTATAGTCATCTAACAGCTGGTACATATATAAGACAGGATCTTTCTCATAGGTAATATAAAACCATGTGTTCATTATAGGTGCACGTGCTAAGACCATTCCCCTCCATTCATCTTTAGAACCATCCTCTGTCTCAAACATATGTTCCACAGCTTTGCCAATCATTGTGTCTGCTAAGTGTGCATCACTGATTCGAGATGTTGCTGGGAATTAAAAATAATAAAAAATAAACATCCCAATGTTGACAAAATGTTTATTTACTATGAAGAATAAGCTTATTAATATACATGCAGCATATTATCATGTAGCAAAATCACCCAGAGGGTTTATTAAAAACCGTTGAGCCACATATCCAGCACATCCTGAGTACCCTATGGTAGATTAAAGTTTTTTACTTCATGTTCCAAATGATGCTTATTTTGCTGCTGTTCCCTGCAACCACTAATTTATTCATTTATGAATTTCAGAATATTTTCCTGCAGTCATTTAGACAACTACCTTACAAAAAACAATTAGCAAAAATGATAATTAAAACAATTAGTACTCTTATTTTGTATATTAATCAGTGCTCTTCTAGTGCTGTCAACATAAAAAAACAAATTAGAATTCTTTGGTAAGTCTACTTGTTATCTTGAACATTATGTTGGGTTTTTTTGGCTTATTGTTGTTAGGGGCTATGGAGTCAGTTCCAAGGTAAACCAACAGAACAAAGTACCACTCGGTTCTATGTCATCCTCACAACTGTGACGCTTGAGCCCACTGCTGTAGCCACTGTGTCGACCCATCTTGAGGGGAAGACTCTTTTCATTTCCTTCATAAGTATGCAATAGTTACCAAAATTACTCCTCTTTGCACATAATACTAAGAGTTTCCTTTGTTCCTTTATGCCAGAATTATCAATTTTGTAATCTCACGTCTTCCTTCACATTCTTAAAAATTATTGAGGGCACCAAAAAGCATTTGTTTATACATATGGTTTTAGTCAATGTCTAATTTTAGAAATAAGGAATTTTAATCTATGCAAATACCTTTTAATAAAATTATAGTTAATGAAACATTTTTGTAATAGATTTTTGTTTTTAATCTCTAATGTCTAATTTCAAAGACAGCTAATTTTTCATATCTGCTTCTGTACTTCATCTGTATAAAATCTAGTCCCATAAAAATATGCTACTAGGGAAGAGGGTATTTTAACAATCTTACATCAAAGCTAAGCAAGTGAAACTTCCTTTAGTATTATAGTTCTGATGCAAAACTTATAATTATGTCAATAAACATGTACCACTCTGTTACATTAAAATCCCTTGGTCTGTCTTGTACTCTAAATGGACCTTATATAGGGAATGAGTTGGTAATTTTATGAATTACTCATATGGAAAATACCTTATTGACAGAGTTAAGTAGAGCTTCCAAACTGGCAGTACAGGGGGCTTCAAAAAAAGTTTGTAGACAAGTAGAATTAAAATATACTGGAATTTTCCCCAATTTTTTGGAGTCTCCTCATAGAATACCTTATTGTATTACTTGTGGAACAAAAAGAATTAAAAAGTAAATTACTTATTATTATGAACACAGTTTAAAGCTCACAGCCATCTGAAGGGCTTAAAGGAACTCTCAAGGACCCCTGTGCCATACTAGGGACACAATTACTCTACGTCTTCACATCCTTCAGGTTGGTTACAGTACCCCAGCACCTACCTAATTGTAGCTTAAAGAAAACATAGAAATGATAATAGAATGCACTACCAGAAATAAATTAAGCTAAACTTCTTCTTTTGGAATATAAAACAAAAGTAGAATTATTCTTTTCCTTTTGTAATGATGAAGAATGAGGAGGTGAGCCATACTCAGAAAAGATGAAATTGTCGATTTATAGTCTACAACTAGTTACTGGTGATGATCATAAAGATTTAAATCTAGAGTTTTCTGTGAAAACTGAACTATGCTTTTATAAGGGAACAAAGTTTAGAATTTGGTATTTCTAAAGGAAAGTTTAACAAAATACTTTACTTCTGTGACCAAGAAGAAGCAGCTTATCAGACAAGCACATATATCCTAAGAATAGCACAAACTGAAGAAAAGCAAAAAAAGATTGGATTAATTTCTTTCCAAGATAAAAATTATTCTAAAAGTTCATTTTAGAAATGGGGGGGGGGGGAATGTTCTTTTAAGCTTTAAGATGTTCAATCTATCCTTAAAAGTGTAGGTCTGTTGAAAGTTTTGTTTTTGAATGGTATAGGCACCTAAAGATAATTCTAAAAGCAGAAGCCATTATTTTAAGCATCATTGAAATAAAGCATCTCAAAATGAATGCTCTGAAGAAAATATTAATTTTGTTGTATTCTACCTGATTAACAAATCAGCTAAGTTGCAATTTCATGTTTCATCTTTTTTTTACTGTTTTGTTTTATTAAATTTATTGGGGCTCATACAATTCATCGCAACACATAGATCAATTGTGTAAAGCACACCTATACATTTGTTGCCCTCATCATTCCCAAAATTCGCTTTCCTCTTGGGTTCCCGGAATCAGCTCATTTTCCTTTTTCCCCCTCCCCCCTTAATAA